TATTTTTATTCATTTAGTAATTTACTATTTCTTTACTTTAGATTATATTTCGAGCATGAACTATATGTTCGATTCACGTTTGATTTGTACTAAAAAAAGTTGTATATAATGTACAATATATACAACAGTATGCATTGCTATTAGAGATGATCATTGTCATTTTGGTAATGTGTTAGGTTGTCCTCTCCCATAGTTAGGCCTTCTTCCTCTGAGGGCCAATTGGTGCAGGTCACACAGGTCTTATGAAAAAGTCACCAGCGAATCAAAAATGAAAAAAATATTGAATGGAATGTCAAATCAAAATTGAATGCAAAACTTCACACTCGTATAATCCTTCAGTTCTGTTGTTTAAAGGGTGTTTGTTAATAATTTCCTCATCTGTCACTGGAATCTGAATCTGTTAAAGGGGCACTTCCAGTTAAGCCTAATCTCACAACAAATTTACTTTCTGGATTAAAATTACAATGGATAACAAAAGATAGATTAACTTTGTAAACAACATAAACAATAGTTTATCATAAACCATGATTCTTTGGTGCAATCCCTGGGATTGAGCAGTTCCCCTTTAAAAATATACCATTTCACATGTAATACTTCCCTGGTCTGCTCACATTTTAGAAACCATGCCCACTTTTGCAAAACCAAATTATAACTATGTTCAATTACAAACCATGTTCAATTACAAACTCAAATTTGAGTGAATCAAAATTCAAGTTACGGGCGACATAGACATAGATTTTTTGTTTGTTTAACGTCCACATTTAATAACTCAAACTTCAATTAACAGTTAAGTAACTGAACTTGTAACTACTAGTATTAATGATAAACAAAAAGAAAATCTGTGTTGCTCATAACTCAAAAACAGCTGGATGTTCGTAACTCAATTCAGCATCTTGCCTTACACAAATGTATATATTTATTTAGTCATGCTCAAAGAATGTCTATGATATCACAGTAGATTGACAATATGACAATATTTTGTTATAATTAAGACAGCGTGTGTAATAATTAATTCAAGTTTCTTTATTTCAGTTTGAAATAAGAATTTGATTTTTCATTTGTTTGTTTGTTTATATCTCGATAAAACAAGTTAAATTAAACAGCATCCACCCATCAATTAAGAAGACCTTGGAAAGATTCAATTGTACATTACTACATGTATTAAAGAACAACGGTTACCCATCGTGCCAAGCTCAAATAAAACTCTATTATCAGGTCTCAAAGGTCAACACAGCTCCTAGCAATCACGTTGGCACGACGCCAGGTTCAAACCACTACATAGCTCAACAGAAGACGTATCGGCTGCAGTGGACAGCGTCGTCCGCTCTTTCTCCAGTCAAATTTAGAAAGGAACGCCTCGCAGAAAACTAGGAACTTAAGTTTGGATTGGAATTTAGTCATAAAAGTGAGGTCACTGAAGTAGTTATGTTTGGAAATGGATAAATTATACCTGTCAGCAGAAGACAATTGGTCACCACTCGATCTTCGACTAGATTTGGGTCAACTGAGTGGTCGACCCCGTCGCAACGATTACTCTTTTCAGGTAGGTAGGGGTAGGCGAGAATTTAATCTGAGATAGTATTTTTCAACTTTAACCCTTTGCTCTACGCATGCCCGAAAAGATCACATGACTATCACCTGACAAAACTGACCAATCCGAGAATCAGAGTTTTTCAATGACGTACATGGCGGCAAGAAGATAACCTTTTGCGAAGAATTCTTACAGGTTTTTATAAATTTCTGACTTGTGCCGCCTTTTCTCGTGTGTTTTCCAGATTCAGTTGAACCCATTCGGTAACGATATGGTTATACAGCAGCTATACGAAGAGGTGAGTCCGAATTTCTTTGCCTAGCAACTAAAATATCCACGGACGCCTCTGTCCAAGATCACGATGATCTGACCATACTGAGTTACGATATATTGGGCGGAGAAGGGGCGTCCATGTGCAAGTATAATACTTTATCCAATCATCGGACGGATTAGTCACCGTAATACTATTTCCAAGCATATAATAATGTACTTAATCCGAGCTTTTTGATTGATATTCGTGTAGTTTAACGATTAATTTTTAGATTTTGGTTTTAGGTTTGAACACGGAAGTTCCGTAACCCCATGACCCAGTTAAGTTGATGGGCTGCTCTGCTAATGGGCCCATTCCTACTTTTCTGCCTGTGTTATTTAAACGGTGCCCTGACCCTTTTGATTTTATACCTTGCCTTTATTGTGCTTGTGTATCTATGGACTATAGTGTATCCTCTGCTTAGACCACGCATGGAGCTAAAAAAGATCCTGCAGTATGCCCTCTAACATATGCTAGTGCATGAAGCTTACAATCTTGGAATACATCTTGATAAAAAAGGAAAAGACAACCGAGTAACAGACATAAAACAAAATTTTGAAAATTTAAATATGGGAAATATTTGGAAGAACCATAAATCTCTGGATGACAAAAAACTGAAACAGTAAAATGCAAACTAGAACAATCCTTTGAAATCAATAGCACAGAAACATTACATGATAAAAACAAGTTATGAACTTATAGAAAACTGAATTTGCGTATGAAAAATATCTCACCACAATCAAAAATCCGAATCATAGAGCTGCTATGACAAAACTCAGAATAAGTGCTCATACCCTTCAAATCGAAAGGGCCAGATATATTAACCTTAGTAGCTGAGGACCGAATCTGCCCGGTTTGTGACAAACAGGAAATAGAAAACGAAAAACATATTTTTCTCAATTGTAATTTATACAAGGAGGAATGAGAAATCATGATCAAGAATATTAAATACAATAAAAGCAACTTTAGGATGGATGATAAACACCTATTAGATATACTAAAAAGTAAAAATGACAAAAAAATCATTGAGCTAGGAAAATTCATCCACACTTGTTTCAAATTACGACAAGAAAAAATCCTAAAATGACAGATGCCTCAACCAACCACCACATAATTTAAATTTTTTCTTCTTTTGCTATACATTCAATTGTCTTTGATTGTCTTGTTGTTACACTTTGTTGGTTTTGTTTTCTTTTTTGCTACTTCATTGTATTTTCAACTAAGATCCCACATTTTCAATAAAGATTACCGGTACTACTATTATTATGACATAATTTGTTGGGATATTCAGTCAAAATGGAACCACTAAAATTTATTTGGTTCAGCTTGGTGACTCCTGGGCGAGAGGCATTTACAAAAAATGAAAGACACAAATTAAACTCTTGTGACTCCTGATTTTCTCCAGTTTTGCACAATGTAAATTCTATTTTACCAAATTACACAGTTGGGGGGGGGGGGTTTAAATCACTATATTAAAGTATGATTTTGTTTTGTGTTATTTGTGTAGCAATGAATGAGTGAGCATCATTAGAAAAATCCCTGTATGTTGGTCATATTGGTTTAAGGGCACACTATTATTATTAAAGTGCCTAGGAAATACCTGGGTTCAACTTATCAATCACTCAACAAGAAAATTTATGGTAATAGAGAGAAATAGAAAATAAAATAGTGTGCCACAAAATTAATTTTTTTTGATATTGTACCTCAGCGTTACTTGTGCAACATTCCTAACAGAGCCCTAACGGGAAACTGGACAGTGACCATGTGATGGCAAAAAACAATGCAGTTGCTATTGCTGCAGTATTCACATCTTTATGTCACTGTACATACATGACAATCAACTGCAGTACTATGAACAACAATTACAAAATTCTGTAATGTCAAGAGACCATCTTGTCAAAAGTAAAAAAAAAAAAATATAATTTTTGTGGACAAAATTACGTTGGATCAATTGATTGGATTGGTTTAAGTGTCACAGGACGCATTCACTGACTTCTAACGAATGTCATCTATATATCACATACATCACGAAAACTTGCGCTTTTAACACTGAGTGACTATATACTGTTTTTTATGCTGTACATGTTACTGAGTGTACTTTCTTCCCAATAATATTCTACCCAAAACAACAGTGTTCACTGATTTGTGACTTGGTTCTCTTATTTGTTGGCATTGACACTGTTCGATTATTAGTATGATTCTGAGTTAGCAAGGCTGACACACCTGGAAGTTACCATGTACCAACAAAAACACTTGGGAAAAATTAGATGTACAAACAAAAACAAAACACCAAGCTTTGATGAGCTGGCACTTAAAATCAGTATGATCTATGGCACAAAGCAACTGAAAAATGTTAGGTAATGATTTGAAAATCATTTGTTGCTGTGAATGCGTGTTTTTTGAAGAGAAACAAACTCTATAGGGGCCTCTACAGGACAAGTTCTTTAATGTAATTTATGTGGTTAGTTTACTGTGGTGTTTTCAGCATATGCATGCATGTGGATGACATCACAATTTTACCAAAACATACTCGCAATATATGTAAATGCAATTACAGATGTGTGGCAATAATAATCATTATTGAATTTGCTTTGAGGCAATGCTTAGACATCTTTGCCAGCCAAGGTTCGCTTATTTGGCCATCATCTCACCACTGCACTTTAGCAGATATTATTTAGCAAAACATATTTGAGTCTGCCCTCTCTTGTCATTTTCTTCAATGCATTGTCTAGTCAAATTGCTCGTTTATAGCTACATTGCAGACAAAATTGTACGGTGGAGGATTTTCTTCTCAGACATTGAGCAGTCATTAAACAATCAGTTATGTGAGAGCAATTCAATCTATTAATTTGTTTTAGGTGGAGGCTCCTTGCTGTATGAAGTGACACATAGAATCGATTGTGGTGTCTGCATCAAATACGCATTGTTACAGGGTCAAGTCATAGTCTACCTAAATAGTTTGACCAACTGTAAAATTTATTCACATGTTCACCAGGTTGGACAGATAGTATCAAAGTCCAAATCACTGTCGCCGTTGAACAAAATCCCTACAGTTTCGTCCTGAAGTTCGTCGATGTCGTCACACACAATTTGGACTTAGCATTTTTAATCTACGGATTTTGCTGTCAGCTTGGCACTTTTAATTCGTGTCTAATCACAATAAAGAGACAAGAAAAAAAGGGTTGCATGCAAACAACTTGGTGACAATGGCACACAGTGCTTTTGTTTACCATCTGTCAATCATCTTTGACCTTTAAGCATCAGCTTTACTGATTGGCTAATGATGACATCACGACTAGTGTTTCACCATATAGGTCAAGTCAACATTGATTTCTTATCAGACTAGACGCTCATCAATCATGGTGAAAGTTACCATTCATCATTTTCTGGCAGTTGGAATGTCTCACTATGGATATCTCAGTGGGCCTGAAATAGAAAGAATTTTTTTCTCCAATGACAGAATAATAATTTTCATGACAGAAATGCAAAGGCTGTGAGGAAAGATGGTAAAAAAGTTGTCAGTTTTCGGCGTGACATTGCAAAATTACTGGCTCACGTATGGATTCATAAGCTGCCACCAAATATTTTGTAAAGCCAAAACAACGTGCTTTCAACCGCTTTCCAAGGTACGGGTTACTGCAATATTGCAACATTGGTTACACTGTCAATGACACTGAAGCCAAACGAAGCCAAACACTTGCATTGCAGGTCTCCCTATACTGTAGGATTTTGCTTGAATTGTTTCTAGGAAAGCACGAACCAAACAGCCCTTTTCAGGGCCATGACACATTTCAAAAAGTGAACTATCGTTTCTGCTTTAATATACATTTTTGTAGACTTGCTGACTTATGATTCTGATTAAAAATCTTGAAAAATAACTTCCTCAAAATAAATGTAAATTACGTAAACAGCGGTGAACGCGCTGCCCTGAAGGCAGAACATGAAATTAACTATTTTGCTGTCAGTTATTTCGCGTTCACCACTCGTTTTATGCAATTCAGATTTATTTTTTAAGAATTCAAGAATTAGAATCACAACAGACTGCAAAGAAGTCAACTGTTAATACAACGAGCAAAAAATAGTTTTTTTCAGTTTTTTACCTTGCCCGTACCATCAAAGATGGAAGGGAAAGGTATATTAAGGTAGCAGAATAGTTTTTTGGGCACTTTTCTAATTTTTTTGTGAAAATCACAAGCATAGCTCCATAAGGCATGCCACATACATTAGTATATTTACTTTTTTGAAAAAATAATATCTTGTACAAGTAAACTGGGTTTTTTCTTGTGTGCAAACAAATACCCAAGTTTTTGTTTATCCAGTGTACACCCCACCAGTACTTCTCATTAATATTCATGCCTAACAAACATAACTGAACTGGGGCTAAGCTATTTACAAACAACTGATAAGATATCTGTTTGTAGTTTACACACAGCTGATAAGATATGTGCAGTGCTGTGTTTCAAGAGGAGGAAGCTGTACAGCAAAGACAAAAAATAACTTTTGAAACACAACACATTTTGAATAAACAAAACGGTACATAAGTATATCACTCCAACGTATTGCCGGATTCTGCCGTAAATTTGCTTGGGCCGTTTAACGGTAGTTTGGGTTTTTTAAATTTTTTTTTTATATTTTGGGAAGAGGAATTTACGTTCTAAATGGTATTTTAAATCTACAACAATCAATCTGCTTGAAATGATACACCATTGTGCGGGAACTCAGTTGTAGATTTTTTTTATATTTGATACATTGTAGCTTTTTATGACCAGATCATGGGAAAAGGCCTTGTTCATGTGGACGGCGCAATTGTTACGATCTCCTCGGCGTATATTTACACTCTAAGGAGCAAGCAAAGACACTCATTTCCAAAATAATAATTTAATTAACAATGCCAATAAAAATAAAATAATCCCACATGTACATTGAATTATAAAAATGGCAATACGTTTACAGTCGTACATTTCATTTGGTCATCTACAATGTTCGTC